AGCTGCTTGGGAGCTTGAGGTGGGAGGATCACTTGTGCTCAGGAGTTCAGGTCCAGCCTGGGCAAGATAGTGAAATTCTGCTTCTTTAAACAAAAAATTACTTCTGGGCCTCTAGATAGTGCTTCTTTATATGTCATTTGTACAGAGACTAAACCACATGGGGGCCACTAGATTTGTTAGGGTGACAAATAGATGAATACTTGGACACTTTGAGGAGTTACATTATGTTGCCTAAGTTCACACAGTTGGGAAATAAGGGTGCTGTCAGGAACCTGGGATCATCTGATTCCAAAGCTGAGGCTTTTCCTGGACAATACAAATTACATTTTACTACCACATATTAGAAAACTGCCTTGCTTTGACTCCCCCAAAAAGAGAGGTAACAAAGGGACAATTTCTACTTTGGATTAAATTTGACTAAGGCTGAGGAATTGGATGGTAAAGTTGGGAAGTGGTAGAAATATCAGGAAAAACAACCATGTCATTCTGAAGTTTGGGTAGTCAAATTTATATCTTAAACTTTTTTTTTTTTTTTTTTTTGAGACTGGGTATTGCTCTGTTGCCTGGGCTAGAGTGCAGTGGCATCGTGATAGCTGACTGCAGCCTCAAACTCCTGGGCTCAAGTGATCTGCCTGCTGCAGCCTCCTGAGTAGCTGGGGCTACAGGTGTGTGCCACCACACCCAGCTAATTTTTCTGTTATTTGTAGAGACATTGTCTCGCTCTGTTGCTCAGGCAGGTCTTGAACTCCTGGCCTCAAGTAATCCTACTGCCTTGGCCTTCCAAAGTACTAAGATTATAGGCATAAGCTACCATGCCTGGCCTATATCTTAGACTTTAACCCTGAATCATAGGATCAGATATTTAAAAACCTACTTGAAATACACTTTTCTCTAAAAAGAAATAGAGCACACAAAGGTCTAATGATAAGTAGAGGAAATTGGAAAGGTCTCAGTGAAAAAGCACCATTCGAGCTTAGAATTTCAGGACAGGGTGGGATTTGAACACATGGAGATGAGAGAGGGGACAACATGAGCAAAGTTTCAAAGGTGGGGACATTTAAGGTTTGTGTATTAATTTGGTTGAAGTGTATGGTACATGAAGTGGAATAAAGGGAGACAAAGCTGGACCTTGAATGTTAGGCTAAGGAATACGGACTTTATGGGTAAACAACAGCAAGCTACAAAATATTTTAAAGCCGAGGAGTGGCAGAATCGGTGCTGTATTTCAAGAATATTTATCTGTTGGCAGTATGTAAAATGGATTGGGAAGGGAAACACTAAAGGCATTGAAGACAAATGCAATAGGTACTGTAGGGATAGAAAAGGCAAGGCTTAGTAAGTCATTGAGTATTGGCACACAGAAAACCGTGACAGAGGAATGCTTCAAGATTAATCTGGTGCCAATGTGTAGGGTAAATTAGAAGAGGAAGAGATTGGGCTAGGCAAGCTAGTTAGGAGTTTACTGAAGAAGTCTTGATGAGAACAAGCAGCGGAAACAGGAAGGAACGGTCAGTTACAACTTATGAGAGGAAAATTGATGTGGCATAGTGATGAAGTGGGTGTAAAGCAGGAGATGGCTGAAAATGACTGAGGCTTCAAGCCTAGGTGACTAGACCATGGTGGTACTGCTATTAACAGAAAAAAGAAATTAGAATGAGAAGTTGGCTGGCAGGGAAACAGCACAGTGAGAAACAGAAAGCAGGAGAGTTATACAGGGAACTGGCTTGAAATCAGATTTTAAAAGAACCTATGAAAAAAGGTATAAGAAAGAATAAAAAAATCAAGGACGGATTTAAAGAAGTGTGGCGAAATTATAAAAAATCGGGTTAGGAAGGTTAAAACTCTAAATAAGTCTTGTCACATAGCAGGTACTCAAAAATATATTGAATGAATGAGCTGAAGCTTGTGAACAATTTGTCCTCTACCCCCGGGTGTGGACTGGTACTGGTCCGTGGCCTGTTAGGGACTGTTAGGGACTGGGCCACAGAGCTCCGCCATCCTCCCCCCACTCCCAGTTTGTAGAAAAATCATCTTCCATGAAACTTAGCGGGAGGGAAATGGCGGGACAAGCGAGCAAGCAAAGCTGCGTCTGTATTTACAGGTGCTCCTTATCGCTGGCATCACCGCCTGAGCTCCGCCTTCTCCCCCCACCCCCATCCTGTGGAAAAACTGTCTTCCATTAAACCAGTCCCTGGTGCCCAAAGGGTTGGGGACCACTGCTCTACAATATACTGCCATTCAGGATTTTTGCTGCTTGGAGAAGATGTTATGTGAAAAGCAAGAATGAATAGCTATTTAAACGCTATTTTGCTTCTCTGTTTTCCAGAATAGGAGAGTGGTCTTTAATCTGGATGAGGTGGACCAAATACAGTAGAGAGAACAGTAGCACAAGATGGGTAAGGAGCTGTTATGAGTCCCCAGCCACTTTAAGTGAGTTCGAGTCTGGTGAAATATAGAAGCACGGGGTGTAAGTAAAGGGAGAATTCGCCTCAGTGTTGTAATCTGTATTTATCTGGCTACATCCTGAGTAGGGAATTGAGCAAAGAAGTTAAAAGAATGGGCTTTGTAGTCAAGAGAACTAGGTTTAAATTCTGAGTTGGCCATTTTGGTAGCTGTGTGACCTTTGATAAATCACTTGGTCTCTTGAGGCCTTAGCCTTCTCCATTTGTAAAAATAGGGACAACAATCCCTACTTTACAGAATATTGTGAGGATTAAATGAGGGAAAGTATGCAAAACCCTTGGTTAAGGGACTACCACTTAGTAAATGTTCCAAAAAATGGGTATCTATTCCAAAAAATGTAGTGATGGGTAAACTACATACTTGTGATTTTCCATGAGAGAGGAGTGATAAAGAAGTCTCTTTATCCCTAAAACAATGCCTGGCACACAGTGGTCTGTAAATATTTGTTGAATGAATGAATGAATGAATACAGACAGATTCTCAAACCCAGAGTTCAGTGGCAGGGGAGACTCTGATCTTGTGTATGTAAGCCGGGATGGAGGGGAATACTCTTTCCCATATTTATTTTTAATGACAACATAATATTTAATTGTTTGGCTGAATTACAGTTCCTATAATCCCCCATTTAGATTTAACCATTTCTCTATTTGGAACATTTAGTTGTTTCCAACTTCTTACCATTGTGAATAACACTGAGATGAACATGCTGGTACTTACATCTTTGCTCCCTTTCCTGACTCTTTTCTTGGGCTACATTCCCCCCAAAAGTGTTGAAGAGTATCATTTGCCAGAAAATTTACACTCTCTCTAGTAGTATATTAAAATGCCAATATATGTTTAAAATATCAAGTACCATAAGAACATATTGAAGTCACTTGGGAGAAATTCCTCCTGAGTGATGTATCGTGTCCGAGATTCTGAGGAATTGGGTGGAGTAAATAGTCAACTGAGCTGTTAGGCACTAACAGTCACAACGGATCTGTTGTCTCTGCTCTGCAAATACAGGAGATGGGTGTTCTTTAGATAGGAAACAGGAACTAAGTGGGTGGCCCTAAAAGGGAGTGTGGGCTTTGAAACAGGAAAAAGAGAAGTCTGCTTCTGATAGTGAAAGAGATGCATCACCATGCTGTCCTGGTCACCCATATGCATCCTACTAGGTCAAACCTTTACTCTATGTCTGTCCTTGTATTCTATTTGCAGTTGTTTTATTTTGCTTTCTAAGTGTTACATTAGTTTCAAGCATGTGCTCTTTTATTTTTTCCATTTCAGGGAATGACATCATCTAGTTGTTCAAGTCAGAAACCAAGTAGTTATTTGATACTTCCTCTTTCTCAGTCCCTACATCCAATCCTTCACTGAGTTCTGATGATTCTGTCTCTAAAATAGTTCTCTAACTGATTTACTCTTCTCTTATCTTCCAAGGTTCCAGTCCAAGCCACCATCATCTCTTGCCTAGAGTACTGCAATTCCCTTCCACCTAATTTTCTAGTCTCCATTCTTGCTTCTGCTAGTGCATTTCCAAACTTCTGCCTAAGTGATATTTTAAAAACTTAAATAGATGATGTCATTTCTAATGATTTCTTTTCCTACTTAAAATAAAGTCCAGAGTCCTTAATTTGGCCTACAAAGCTTTGCACAATTTGCCCCCTGCTCACTTCTCCACCCTCACCTTTTGCCTCTCTCCCCTTTGCTCAAGGTTTCAGTCACAATTGCTTTTCTGTCCTTGATTCTTAGTTCTTTCCAGCCTTGAGGTCTTCGTACATGCCTTTCCCTGTACCTGGAATGGTCTTCCTGCCAACCCTCACCTGGCTAATTCTCGCTCATCTAGCAGGTCTCAGTTTAAATGTCACTCTCACAGAGACCTTCTCTTAAAGCAACCTCTTCTTTTCCTTTATAAACTTCTCACAATTAAGAAAACACACACACTCACACACACATTTATGTCTCTTCCATTAGAGAGCAAGTTTCTTGAGGTCATAGGTAATGTCTATTATGTCACCACTGAATACATATCTAGGGCTTAAACAATGTCTGGCACAGACTAAGTGCTTTTCATTTATTAATTTATTGTCTATTTTTTTGAGACAGGGTCTTGCTCTGTCATCTGGGCTAGAGTGCCGTGGCATTAGCCTAGCTCACAGCAACCTCAAACTCCTGGGCTCAAGTGATCCTCTTTCCTCAGCCTTTGGAGTAGCTGGGACTACAGGCGTGCATTACCACGTCTGGCTAGTTTTTTCTGTTTTTAGTAGAGATGGGATCTTGCTCTTGCTCAGGCTGTTCTCAAACTCCTGACGTCAAGCAATCCTCCTGCCTCAGCCTCCCAAAGTGCAAGGATTACAGGTATGAGCCACCGCATCTGGCTGGTGCTCTTCATTTAAATGAACCATAATATCCAGTATAGTGTTAGGAAGGAAGTGGGTTTTAAAATATGGTTACTTATGGAAAATTCTCTGTTGTCATTTAAATGTTAAGCTTACAAAATCAGGGATTTTCAAGTTTTATGTTATATAACTGAATTTGGTAATTTATTCTCTATAGCATGAAACACACAAAAGCAAGTCAGATTTACTCCAAATTTAAGAGTGTTTCCGGTTTTCATTCTGTCCTCTTGAGGGTTAAGGCAGCTTTAGGATTAGGGCAGGATTAGTTAGCTGCTTTTCTATGGTTGGTGCTTTAACACTATTCCTCTTTCTCACCTGGGGATTTGGGTACTCACCAGCAGGCTGTGACACAAAGCATGGAAATGCTGCTGATTTGTCTCTAGCTCATCCCAGTCCAGCTTCCAACAGCTTGTGGGTCTGAGGATGAATGGGAGTCCATATGTCAATGACTCGCAGACCCCGCTAGATTTTAGAGCCCTGGGAAGAGACAATGGCAGTGAAAGACTCCTCGGTGATATCTAGAACCTCTACCCAGATCCACTTAAATTCAGCTTAAGTCCACACTACTATGAAAGCTTTCAGATTAGGGTCTGTGAATTATTCACCTTTGTATAGCTACTGTCTAGCATAGTATCTAGCACACAAAAGACTGTCAAAGCTCAGGAACCTGTGCATAGGCACTGTGGTAGGAACTAGGAAGCTAAGTGGCCTCTGCCATCGTTGCTAATTCTACTCTAGAATTGGTTCCCCTGGAAGAAAGAGTTCTATTAATAGTACTTAGAGAAATAGGAGGGGGCTGCAGTAGATCTTATGTATCATTTATTCCTTAAAGGTTGGATCTCTGTCCTGATGCTTAAACATAGTAGGTACTTAATAAACATTTAGTGAATGGATAAACACCTTTGTACCGATCTCATCTTTCTCTGTGTTCAGAGACTTTCTAGATTTCCAATTCTCATCCAGACCTCAGAGTGTTCTACTACAGCACTTCTTCTATCACCTGCTCATTTGGCCTTCATGTGCTGAGTAGCTTGACTCTCATACCATACCTGTAACTGCTACTTTGGAACTGATCGTTGCTTCCCTGACACTTAGAGATACTATCTATCTCCGGACTTTCTAGCCATGGAACCAGTAAGAATAGCATTTGCATGGATTGGGGAGGTTCCCTTGGACCATACTTGATCACTTGGAGCTTGTGACGAGAGGCTGATGACTGGGAAGCCATCTGGTAGAGTGTGCTGAAGTCTCCTTTGGGGTCATCCGTTCTCAAGGTGCTGTCAGCTGTGCCAGGGAGCAGGGAGGGGCTGAGCAGTCGCTCTTGGAGATCACATTTCAGGCACACTACAATAAAAAGCAGCATTGGAGGAAGGATTATGGGTCACAAGTTACCTCAGGCTATGCCTTTATGAGACAACATCTGCCACCCATTCCACCTCTATCAGGCAGGCAAGGGATGGGAGGAGGCAGGGGACTGGAAAGAGGAAAGCTTGATTGGTTTGGGAAGGTAAAGCGGGTCTGGAACCTATAGTATCTCTGTCACTCTATGCAACAGTTAACTTATTTTCTGGGTCTGATGTGGTTTGTACTTGTTTTACTTTTGGGCTGGCTGAGCAGTTGTCTCATAGTGAGAGATCTGGTTTGTGATCCAGTCAGAGGAACATGCATCCTCTGTTGAGAAGGCAGCTAATGCCAAAATATGCAGGTGCCCTTTGGCAATCACAGAAGGAAATCTTGCCTCTGCTTCTCTGTGGCAAAGCTTTGGCAAGACTGCAGGTCATATGAAGAAGAGCAGGAAAGCAGAAGTCAGGCAGTCAGGTGACTGTTGCTGTTTCTCTGTGGGTTCTTCTAGGGACATGGGGTGGGGGAAATAAGTTCCTGAAATAGTTTATTCTTTTATTTCTCAAAGAAACTGAGTAAATGACCTTCTGGGGCTTGGAGCATCACTGCAGCATCAGATGACAGTTCTGAGGAGAGCTCAGACTAGGTAAGGCCATTCATCTAGGAATTATACTCTGCTACATTAAGCTCCTGCTCCAGTAGGTACCTTCACATGCCACAGTGGACAGTGTTCTGTTGCACTAGGCTTGAAGCCTTGTTATTACAAAGTTTTTCAATAAAATGTATATCTGGCTTGCATACTGATAACAAACTTGTGAATATAGGAATGTTGAGTACTTGTGAGAAGGATAGTTGATGTTAATGATTTGTGAAATGACTGTCCTAACTGCAACATGAGGTAAAAACTAAAGTAGAAATAACAGAAAAAAAACCAGAGTGGCAGAATAGATGGGCCAGATCCAGCTGGCCCTCCTGGGCCCAGTGTTTAAGACTAAGACATTAATTCTTGGTGAGATTGCTCTTGGCTGGCCTCGCATGTCCCAGGGCCCAGGAAGTCAGTAGGAGGGACTTTGCCTGGGACTCCAGCTTCCCCTCATTTCATCTGTGCCTGACTTCTCCATTTATGGTCCCTAGGCTTTATGACTAGCTGTGTTCATCTGGCTGAGGTTCTCAATGCTGGTGGCAGTAAGAATCACTTGGGGAACTTCTGAAAAGTACTGATGTCTGGGCCCTACCCCAGAGCAATTAAACCAGGATCTCTGAGGGTGGAGCCCAGATACTGATATTTTTAAAAAGTTCCTCATGTGATTCTTACTGTAGTCAGGTCTGAGATCTGCCCAAACTGTAGCCTCAGCAGAATGTTCCAAAGCTGGGAAAGTTGTTTTGGCAGGGCTTGAATCTAGAACCAGGCGTGCTTCTCACCATTCAGAGCCCAGGTGCAGAGGTGCCAGACCCCAAACCAAACAAGAAGACACTAATCTGTAGCTGATTGTGCATTCTTTCTTTCAGAGGAAGGCCCTTCTAAGGGAAGCACCTAGAGATGGGGTGAAGGACCCTAGGCAGCCCCAAAAGCAGGTAGTGTGGGGTGGAGAACTTTGTAAGGAGGACTCAAAGCGAACATCTGAGGCGCACTGCTCAAAACAGTCTATAGGAGGAGAGGAGAGCTCAGGGCTTTTGTTTTGTTTTGTTGCATTTTTTATAGTGAGCCACAGGTCCAGAAATCCATATGTGTGGCAATGTATCAGTTTTAAGAATAATAGATATCTATAGTATAATCTTTATTGAGGCTGCTTAAAATCTCAGGTGGGTCACATCCTCCCTAGAGGAAGCCTAATTTCCCCAGACCTCACTGTAATTGTGCCTGAGTATCTGGATTCCAGTGAAGACTTTCCCAGCAGAACAGCTGACTGGAGTCTGGATCTAAATTCTACCATGCGCTCTGAAGACCTGCAGATTTCCAAAAAATGATTACAGATGGAGATAAACATTCTGGCTCTGACCCTGGTGCTGAAAGCCTTGGGAAGAGGGAAGGGAAGCCAGAGAAATTCTGATTAGCACCATGGGCAAATGCCATGCAACAGTGCAAGACAGTCTGGTTGCAGGAGTTCCCGGCCTTTGAGGGGCCCAGCCCTCCTAATGAGAAAAGTCAGTCTCTAGCCCCTTTATTCAGAATTGCCCAGAACGAGGCTGGTTAGTATAGTAGATAAAGACCCAGGGTCTGGAGGCAGATAGGCCTGGGTTTGGTGAACATAGTCTGTGATGAGAGTGGTCAAATGTACAAAATGTAGATTTCTGATCCTAAGGGTTAAAAGGGAGCCTGGAGTTGCCTGGCTTCAAATCCTGGTTCTGCTATTAATTTTCTGTGAAGTCCTAGGAAAGTGTTTAATTTCTCTAAATCTTAGTTTTCTCATCTGTAAAACGGGGATAATATTGTGTTTAATTGACTCTAAGACACATTTTTTTTCACATACTAACATCTCTGTATGTGTCTTAAAATTGCCATTGGCCAGATACTCTTAGCCCTTACTTAGTACTCTAACCTAAAAGAGCTTTCTCAATGAGGATAAAATAATACCTGTAAGTGACAAGAAAGAGCTGTGTCATGTTTAACTGGCAGGGTTTTCTTTCTTGGGACATAAGTGTACATAAGACAGTGGTATACCTTACAACTAATAGAATCTTAGATTCAACAACATATGGTAACGGTATCTACCTCATGGTGTTGTGTGCAGATAAAATGGGATAAGGCAAGGAAAAGAGTTAACTCACAGTTTGGCACAGAGAGAGGGTTCAATAATGTTAGCTATAAAGTAGCTTCTGTATAAAGTTGCCAGCAACCTTAAATAGGGAATATAGATAGGCGAATTCCAAAGGATGGAACAGGGAGAAATGGGTATTATCAGCCTTGGACAAGGCGGGTGGAAAGAAGGTGCGGGGAAGAAGATTTTATACACAAAGGAAAGACAGCTTAAAACCAAGTTAAGTTGTCAAAGGCATCCTGGGCCCTGGGTTGAAATGGGGAGGAGAAGAGACCTGATGGTTATTCCCCAGAAAGAAAGGGTCTTGGGAAACCGTAATCCTATCTAGTGACACTCCAAAGGGCTCTTCCTTGTTCTGAAGAAAAAATGGTCATAAAGAGTTCTATTACAGCTGAAGAAAAGGGAAATATACTGCCAGTGGCCAATAGAGAGCCCTGAGAGGAGGCAGTGGGCTGTGTGGGAGAGGGGCTTTGGTAAGCACCACGTCCAATCCAGCCTTCAACCCTCAGTGATCTCTTTAGCTACTACCAATATTTTGTTCAGTGAGAAAGGTGGCTACAAAATCCCACCCCTAAAGGTGAAGACACACTTTTGTCCTTGCCCTTTGGAGCTGGGCCCTAAGGAGTCAGCTTTCCCAAGCTCAGTGTGGCTGATTAGACTGATGGGCCCATCTGCAGGCCCTGCTACTCTGCATCCTGAGCCAACCTTCAAAGGGGAGAGAATAGAAATGGCCTTATGCCTACCACCTAGTGGGACCTGGAATGAAGTATCACTGTCAGGCAGAACAATATGCAAGTTGGCATGCCCAGAACACTAGATTGATCTCTTGGTTTCAATAATTGCCTGAAGTACTTCGTGAACATGGCCTGTCTCTGCAGTTGCTTTAATTTTCCTCAATTTGCTGCCTCCCTAGTGAGAAGATCTCTGTTTAATCTTGGTTCGCTTCCTCTCACCATAGGCTCTGTTGATATTGCTGAGGTACTGGCACACCTCTAATTATAATGCCAAGAATATTTACCACATTAACACTGAGAATATTGAGAAAAATATATGGTTCGTTGTGTTCTTATGTAGTGTAGCTGATGCCCTATCACGGAGGTGTCTAAGACTTTACCGCTAAACTAACTGGCCCTGGGTGGCTGGGCTTAATTAGGCTCAGCTTTCTAACTGGTCATGTTTTAGAACTTTTCTTCTTACTCCTCATGCTCCTCACGCTTATACTGCACAGCCTCATCCAATTCCTAAACCTCAACTACTCTGGATTCTTACGACTCACCAATCTAGAGTCCTAATCCCAGACAAGGACAATCATAGCCTATATCATATATCTTTTGGGGGTTGTATACTTGGATTATCTCCTGTTCTGGAAATGTTGCTGAAACACCGTGAAGGAAGAAGAAGATGGATATGTTCTTGGTCTGTTCCACTGTTATGCAGCCAGGCTTTGAAGAAAATCTCCATGCTGACAGTATCGTTGTCTATAGTCTGAAGGTCAATGTCAGTTCCCAGGATAGAACTCTCTGCAGAAGAAAGGGAAATAATGGTTAAATTGTCTAATTCTCTTTTTTTTTTTGAGACAGGGTCTCACTCTGTTTTCCAGGCTGCAGTGAGTGGCATCATCACAGTTCACTGTAACCTCAAACTCCTGGGCTCAAGCAGTCCTTCTACCTCAGCCTCCCAAGTAGCTAGGAATACAGGTGCATGCCACCCACCTGGCTAATTTTTATTATTATTATTTTTTTGTAGAGATGGGGCTCGCCGTGTTGCTCAGGTTGGTCTCGAACTCCTGGGCTTAAGTGATCCTCCCACCCTGGCCTCCCAAACTGCTGGGATTACAGGTGTGAGCCATCACACCTGGCCTGTCTAATTCTTTAATTGTGAGTTTTGAAAAATATAAAATATTAAATGCACCTATCATTTGACCCATCAGTTGTACCTCTAGATATCTAGCCCAAGAGACATTCTTGGACAGTACACAAAGAGATATATGTAAAGATGTCTAGTACAGCATTTGTTGTAATAACAAATAATCAAAATCCCAAACAGGAAGCAATTCAAATGCCCACCAGTAAGGAAGTATTTACATTATCGCAAACTCAAACTATGGGGTATTATGCAGCCGTTAACAAAGTAAAGCTAAATATACTGACATGGAAAACTAAAAGATGGTAAGTGAATAAAGGAAGTTGTAGAACAGAAATAATATGATCCCATTTATATAAAAATAAAACTATGTGCCTAACTACATACATATGTTTGTAAATGCATTTTACAAAGGTCTGGAAGGCTACCATCCAACTGTTAACAGTGGATAAGAGGTGGAAATGGTGCAAGGTTCTGAGATATGTTCCCTTTTTACTATTCATACTTCCATACTGTTTGAATTTTATTCAAACATTTGAGACTACAAAAACAACCCAAAAATTGTATGGCAGTGCAAATTGAATACTTAGTTAACAAGGGGGCTTCAATTTCATGTTGTCTTACAGTGAAAATGTGCTCAATTATTACTTCTGTTATAAAAAGTGAATTAAAAAAACTAAAAGAAAGATGTATTCCTGGGCTCCACCTTATGATACAGAAGCAAGCCTGAAGCATTAGTCATTGGCACAGTGGATCTCACAAGTGTGGTCAGTAAGCAAAGAGGATGGAGATGTTCTGGGTGGAGTGTGATTTAATTCCAAATCCAAAGGAATGGGGTAACAAGGCTTTGCTGGTGTACTTCCAGCTTCAGGCAACACTAGCTCAGCTGGGATCTGTGTCTGCAGGGAAGTTCAATTATAAAGTGGTGGAGGAAGCACAGAGGAAATGAGGCAAGAGCTGGAAAGAAACTGGAGAGGAACCCGACTTTCTTTGCTTCATCATGAGGGACTCTCTGAAATACTTTTACAAAGAGCCTAAGAAAAACCAGTTGCTCCAATGAATTAACTTCTGTGTATGACTCATGGACTCCAGGGAGAAGGCTGGATTATTTCTAGAACGACATTCCTGAGGGCAAGTCTGCAGAGGTGGCAGACTTTCCACAGGGAACAAAGGGGCTTCAGTCCAATGCATTGGTTCCAACACAGGGGAGGTGTGGTGAGATTTGGATGACTTCATGTCATATTTAGCAACTTATCCTGTAGCTGAAAAGAGGCACCTAATGCATTCCTCTATGGCCAGAATCATGAATAGTTATGAGGATTCATTAGTTAACTAGTTATTTCATTCATTCCATCAGATATATATGACACTCTGTGCCTTTCAGAAGTTTATAAAACAACATTAATCTTGACCACTCCCCCTCAAACTCTCATCTGCCACATTACGTTTTAGAGTGCTACCGTGATATATATGAAGTAACTGCCAGTGAATCTTTTTTCCTTTTTAGAGATAGGGTCTTGCTCTGTTGCCCAGTTGCCCAGGTTGGACCACAGTGGCATGATCATAGCTCACTGCAGCCACCAACTTCTAGGCTCAAGCAATCATTCTGCCTCAGCCTCCCGGTACCTGGGATCACAGGCGGGAGCTACTGTGCCCAGCTAATGTGAATCTTATTTTGTCACAGGCAAAACGAGGAGCAATTTAATTTTTCTGAGCCTGAAACCTAGACTTTGACTTGAGTACAAGTATGGAAATGACTGAGAAGCTTCTCTTCAGTGAGGTAAAACAGTTCTTAAAGCATAAGGGGGCTGTTAGAGAACTAAAGAATTGAGCAAGGGAACTCAGAAAGTGGAGAGGATAAAATTGCTCACAGTTCAAATGACAGAATTTTGGAGAAGAGAAATAAGTCTTTCTTTTTTTCTCTCTAGGCAAAGGGTAGAAGATTAGAAACTCCTACCATGGACAATGTGAGGGCATAATGCAAAGTTATCTCCCATTAAGAATCTGGAAATAAGGCTGAGCATGGTGGCTCACATCTGTAATCCCAGTGCTTTAGGAGGCCGAGGCAGCAGGATTTCTTGAGGCCAGGAGTTTGAGACCAGCCTGGGCAACATAGTGAGACCCTGTCTTAAAAAAAAAAAAGAAAAGGCCAGGCGCAGTGGCTCACGCCTGTAATCCTAGCTCTCTGGGAGGCCGAGGCGGGCGGATTGTTTGAGCTCAGGAGTTCGAAACCAGCCTGCGCAAGAGCGAGACCCCGTCTCTACTAAAATTAGAAAGAAATTAATTGGACAACTAAAAAATATATATATACAAAAAATTAGCCGAGTATGGTGGCGCATGCCTGTAATCCCAGCTACTCGGGAGGCTGAGGCAGGAGGATCGCTTGAGCCCAGGAGTTTGAGGTTGCTGTGAGCTAGAATGACGCCACGGCACTCTAGCCCAGGCAACACAGTAAAAAAGAAAAGAAAAGTTAGCCAAGTGTGGAGGCATGTGCCTATAGTCCCAGCTATTTGGGAGGCTAAGGTCGGAGGTTTGCTCGAACCCAGGAGTTTGAGGCTGCAGTGAACTATGAAGGAGCCAATGCAATACAGCCTGGGCAACAGAGTAAGACCCTGTCTCCTAAAAAAGAAAAAGAATCTGGAAATAAGAAAAATAGGGGTTTCCTCAGACAATTAAACCATAAAATCAACACAGAGTGGTGAGTTCAGTGAAAAACAGTTACCTTAAGAAGTGAGAATGGCTTATTGACCACTGCAAGATTTGGCTGTAGCCTTATGATGCTGTTGTCATATCTATTGGAAGGGCAGAGGGCTAGCCAGAAATGAAGCACAGAGAAGGGGAGCAACATGGGCACACGCCAGCAATACTCGTCCCCGCATGGCTCAGAGAAGGCATGCTGACTTCTGATGTGTCCCACTGGCAGGGATATGTTTGTCAAGTCTCCGCTCGTGGTGATTATGGTGGTTATGGTTCTGGCTTATCCTTCATTCTTGAGCTCTGGAAGGTAAGTGTATCTCTGAGAACGTGTTGACAAAATCAGCTTTCTGATCCTGCAAAGCTAAAGAACCAGGTTTGAAGGACTGCCCCTGTATGAAGGAAAATGCCATGCCGTTAGGGCCTTCTGGCAGCCAGTCAGGCAGCCAGTCTTCCCTGCTGACACCCCATCAACATTCTGACGTTCTTTTTTAACTTCTTAACATACACGTTCTTGGACAGCCACAGAGCAGAGCCGTTTCCTTTGAAAACGTTCTCACGTAACCTGCATAGAGGTGTTGTGCTTGGAGCTTGAGCCTTCGGTTTTGCAGTCTCAGAAGGGAGGGAGCACCCTCTCGGGACGAACTCACATTATCAAACCAGAGACTAATATGTAAACCAGAACACTTCAGAGAGAGAATTTCTTTTCCATTTTCTCTGTCACTGGTCCAAGCATTCATTTCCTCGTGCCTGGATTATGGCAGTAGCCTCTTAGCTATCCTAGCAAACTCATTTCTTCCCCTCCAATACTTGTTATGTACCACTCCCAGTTATATTATAATATCCTCCCTATTAGTGCCCTACATAGAGCTGAAGGTTGGCAAATGCCTGTTGAGTTGAACAATTGCTCCCTCCTCCTCTGCCCTCATTACTTTTTCCTGTGACTCTTCTGCTTCAGCTAACTGGGAGTGGTACATAAGAAGGAATAATAGTTACTCCTTTTGAAACACAGTTTCATCAGATTCCTCCTTTGCTAAAGAGCACATACTGCCTTCCTGCTGTCACTCACTCATCCTATACCAATTGGTACTACTCAATATTCCACAAGTATCCTACCCTTCCTTTCCTTGTTACCGGTCCCATTTAAATGTAAACTCTTCAAGGATAGGAATTGTTTCTTTTTACTTGAATCCTCCCTCTTAGTGTCCTACATAGAGGGGAAGCTTAGCAAATGCCTGTTGAGTTGAACAATTGCTCCCTCCTCCTCAGCTCTCATTACTTTTTCCTGTAACTCTTCTGCTTCAGCTAAGTTAGTCTCCCTGCCACATGACTTCCTTCCTTCCTTAGTGCTTTTATTACTCTGTCAATCCATGGCCTGCATCTCCCCAGAATTCAACTCAGGACTGTGTCCAGGAAGTTATGCTTAATTATATCCTCCCTTATCTGGCTTTAATTTTCACCCCCTGGGTATCTGTGGGGTTCATAGGGCAATATTAATCACATGTGCTAAGTTGTTTCTTCTGAAGGATTTTTTTTCTTTTTGTGAGTTTATGAAAGGTGATGGGATTTAATGGAAAGACAAGGGTTTAACTCCTGGCTTGAAAGTTGTTAACTATGTGATTTTGGCCAAAGTGGGATAGTACAACTTATTTCTTAGTTATAGTGAGGCACTAAAAAGTGAGATGATTATCTATGAATGGCATGCAGCCGGTCCAACAACTGTCATTTTCTTTCTTCTCTCTCATTAACAAAATGATTAGCTCTTATAGGATAATAATGTACTTTCCTTTTAAAAACTTTTCCCCCCAGTCACTTCCCTTGGTCACTGCTTTCTGCTCACCACTACCATACATAAGAACACCAACACTTGGTACATACTGTTCCTCACAAATGCAACTAAATGTGCTAAACCTGGGGATCTGGGGAACTTCTCAGTTCTTAGATGGTGAAGAGCAGCTCCTGC